GCTGCTGTTGCTATTACAATCGATCATCGTCGATGATGTTGAAGCATTCCCAATAATAGTCCTCCTATAGTCTTTTCTTCTATCTCAACCACGTCTTTTTTGTTTTATGAAGATAAAATATATTGCTAAAACTCGGTTATTCTTCAAAAGCGATTGATTTGTTTTAGTTGAAGAAAAAAAAAAAACAAAAACAAAAAAGAAGAAAACCAGTGAATAAGTTCTAATTATTATTTATGAAACAGTATAGCTGTATAAAATTATGCAAGTAAAATGAAGTTTTAACGCACAATAGAACTATAAATAAAGACCAAAAGAAATGCAGCAAAGGTATAAAGAAAAAGCTAAATAATATAACAGGTAATTAATTAGCTAACAGGTAATCAGTTAGACATTAGTCTGTATTCAAAAAAAAAAAAAAAAGATATAGACAACTGTATTCAATAAATCAGAATTCTGTCAAACAACAAAAACAGTGCTGCTGATCAAACTGATCTGATTAATTTGTTAATTGGCATCTATATGCTTGAATAGAGTGCGCTATACTTCTGATGCCTAAACTTTGTGCTTTTTTTTTTGTTACTTATTAGCATTTTGCAGTAAAATAAACTATGAATTCAACAGTAATATTAGCAAAAGAAAAAAAGATTGCATTGTTTAAATGGTTTACAAAAAGTAACTGCAGTTATTTTGATGCTAAGACTAATGCAAAAGTAATTGACCTATGCAACACTGCTTTAAAGATTCGTTTTTTTCTTTTATTTTGGAAATCTTCGTTGAAAAAAAATTTTTTTCAAATATATTGATATCATTTAAAACTCATTTTTTTGATTGTAAAGTTTTATGAACATCTTTCGTTGTCGTTTTTGTTATTGAAACTGCAACTTTTTTCTTTCTTTTTTAGAATTTATATCTATCGATCCGGGCAGAAAGTAGAATTGCTTATGAATGAATGACTGAAAAGAAGATATCTTGGTGTTTTTTTTCGCTTTTTTTTGCTCTTTATTACTGAAAAAAACTAAGACTTTGTCTATCAGTAAAAGCACAATTTGTTTTCTTCTTGTTTTAAGCATTTAACTCTATATACTTTTTTCGTTCTGTTGATAGTATCTGAATTTTTAAAGATTTTATTGAGCATTTTCATTAGCAGATGTTTTTTTTCTTTTTGGAACATCGATGCTCATTTAAAAGTGTAAGTAATTGTTTCATATAATGTATATAACAGTAAATTGTTAGCAGAAAAAAAAATTAAAGAAGAATAATGTTGTAAAAAAAATTTTTTTTTGTAATTTAAAACTGTTATTCAGCTTTTTTTTTGCCTCAATATTTCCCCAATAAGTGAACTATAAAAACAAATTATTGTCGGTTTACACATTGGTGGGTTGTTGCTTAAAAGTGGCACTGAATGTTATTTTCTGAATTCCCACTGATGGAAGAAAGCTTAGCAAATTGTGAAGTGGTGGACGTTGTGGTAAATGGTTGTGGTTGTGGTTGTTGCCGTTACTTTTGCCGTTGTTGTTGGATAAATAGATGGATGGATGTACGGATGGATGGAT